GTCTTTCTTGACTTCTTTCTTTCAGAAGAAGTTGGTAATCTTTCATCTTTGAACGACCTATGTCCTTGAAAGCAAGTTGGGGTGTAGGTGGCCCTCGCGACCGGTAATCATTTCGTTTAATGACGAGAGCTTTGTCGGTCCTTTCCACTCTTCGGCCTCGGATTATCGCTGCGTGCTCTTTTCTCGTATCCGCAGATCACTTTGGTTCTTTCCATTTCTTCTCTATCTTTTTCTTCTTTCTCCCTTTATTTCCGAACTCTGTAATTTTCCCCTAACGGCCATGCCACCGTGCCACTATACCACGCCGAAATTGGCGTACAGCGGAAAGATTTCGTAGAAATCCCTGACGTTCTTTAATGGGAAGGCGTCTGAACGGTGACAATGGCACTTTTTCTCTTTCCTTCTTTCTTCTTCTTCCGAATGAAGAAGAAAAAATATCGATCTAACGAGAGAGAGGGATAGAAGAAGAAGAAAGGAAGAATCGCAAAGTCGAGGAGAATTACGAGGAGGATAATCACGGAGCGAATAAAAAGATAAAGATAAAGAAAAAACAGAAAAGAATAAAAAAAAAAGGATCGTGACAACGGATGAAGAAGATAGAAGGGGGAAACGGAGGAAAGGAAGATGATGGAAAAGAAGGAGAAGAGGGAAAAAAAGAAACAAAATAAAAAAATTTTGATCGTCCATATTTTTCACAAACCGTATGTATTACGGAAATATGCGTAATCAGAATGTAGACGAGATTCAAAGATGTAAATTAATTTCCGTTTTAATAATATGTATTATATGAATGAAATTGAAATTCGATGATAGAAGAAAGGTTGTTGTTCGCGTTACGCGTTTGTAGCGGATCTCTTTCCCGCATCCAGCACCTGCGAGAGATCAGGCCGTGTGGCCAATGGTTGAGCAAACAATACGGACGATGATGCACCATCTCGAGCGCATTGTCCGTAGCGAGTAGTAGTAGGCGGCGGATTTATCTGCCTACTCGTAGAGTCAGGTAGAGGAGCCAAGCAAGGTCCTCGACCCTCGGGACGCGTCGCGCGAGTCGACAGAAACCGATGGATCTTCCTTTCGTTCCAGCTCGGGATTTCGCACGGGAACATTGACATTACCGTCGATCGCTTTCGCACTTCTCACTTCTTCTTAGACGGGAGAGAACAGGTAGTCCGGTTTTCAATGAATTGGACGCGTTTAGAGAAAGCTTAGAACTGTTTCGCGATCCTGTCATTTACATAAGATAAAAAGTAAGAGCGTAGCACGCGAGATATCGAAACTGCGCATAATTGCGCGCTAATCTGAATTCTTGGCGCATATGAAATTCCAGCGCGTGCCTGTACAGGGATTTTGTTTATTTGTTCGTTCTTTAGTTCGTTCTTGGGGAAGGGGGTGGGGAGAGGGAGAGAAAAGGAGAAGAGAGAAGGCCGTGCTTTTAGATTCTCGGTCACGCCACTCGCGCGTCATGAGTCATCTGTGATGCATCGTGGAATTATTAACACGAGAATTTATCACTTATACTCTAGCTGCGTGCCGAATGTAAACTATCGATGATCTATGCACGAAATGTTGCGAAATATATTATCGAAGCACGCGATTATCCCGGATAACGCAAGAGTTTAAAACGCAATATCGTCACCAAGTATCTCGTGAAACCAACATCGATCTTTTGCTCTGTCAAAAGACGTGTTAACAAATGGTTAAAATTAATGCACCGCTTCCGCATCGTTAAGATGCAAATTTCATGCTCTTTAAACGGAGATTGGAACAGTACGACATAGTTGGACAAGATCTATGTCGCGTAAATACGCAATTCGTAATGAAAAAAGATAGAGTGCGCGCCTTTATCAAAAGAAGCGTTCGCTCGTTCGTCGAATTTCAACGATTTCAACTAAAAAAAAAAAAAAAAAACGACGAAAGTTCGTACTCAGCATGCAAACTATCCGGAATCTCTCTCGTCACGTCACGAAATTCCAGGACCTTTGGCACAGGCGTAGAAGAGGCTCGTAGGGCTGAGCGCGGAATGAGCGCCGATGGTAAGTCGGTTCTTCGCATACCGAACTCTCAGGTAGGTTGGAAGGTGGAGACGAGGAAAGAAACAAGAAATCTGTGAGGCGAGAGAAAGAGGAAGAATTAACGGCGAAGGGGAGCAGAGTCGGAACGAAGAAGGAGTAAGAAGAAAGTGAGAAAGAGGAAGAGAGAGAGAGAGAGAGAGAGAACAACACAAGCAAGCGGGCAGACGAGCAAACGGGCAAGCGAGCAAGTAAGCAGACAAGCAAGCAGGCAGAGTTTGGTATAGTTAGTCTAGCTGCTCGATACTGCGAAGCGAGGTGAATGCCGAGGCTCCGGTATATCGAGGTGCGCTGTACTATCGCTCCCCTCTCCAAGATGGCCGCCGTTTGGGTCCAGCCGGGTTCCCCTGACCGAGCCAGCCGAGTCGATCGTGTCAGGGGAAGGGTAGGCCTTGCAGGTGCCGCCATGTCAGTGCATGCCTAACCTCGAAGCCGCGCGGAACGGACGCTGGGCCCAACAACGCCAACATCTCTCACGCAGTGTTTCCATTTTCATCAGCCGTTGTTCATCGAGGCTCGTTGTTAAACCACAATATCGACTATCTAAAATTCTCGCGATTCGTTACGTTTCGTTCGATCGATCGATCGCGTGTGCGCGAGATCTCGGATCGAACTTGTATAATATACAGAGGAATCGAGAAAAAGGTGTATCGAAGCGAAAGGAGACTCTACCTAGAGAGAGGATTGGAGTAAACGTTCCGTGATACGCGACGTGGAAAAGTCGTATCAAACGTGGTTTTTGATATCATTTTCTTGTATGGTGGTTCGCATCGCGTTCATCGTTCGTGGATCGTCGTTGGTTGTTGGTCGTCGTGTAGGCAGTGTATCCCGCGTGACAGTTTCTAGCGAAAGACCGGCTGATGCTATTTGCAGACGCAAATGTAGACAGCCGTGAATCGAGGTGAGAAGTAAATTCGTGGCAAAAAAAAAAAAAAAAAAAAAAAAAAGAGAAGAGTCGAGCGATTAATGTGTATTTCGACTCGTCTCACTTGCCCGTTAACAATATCCATAAGGAGGAAAGAACGAACGATCGATCGATCGACCATTTTTCGAATACGAGAATCAAAGAAACAAAAATTTGTATCGGCAAAGCCGACGAAAATGAAAAAAGAAGAAGAGATTACGAAGCTAAGGATATAGAGATCGGTTCGCGGAGGGAATCGTGAACGTCGAGTGTGAATTTTTTGAATCGGATCCGACGGAAGCCAAGAAATGAAGGGCGTTCCAGACGCGAAGCGATCGAGGCGAGTTCGCGACCGATCGTGTTGATCGTCGAGTTATCGGACGTGAATCTAACGCGAGGAATGTACGATATCTCGAGGCGAAGATATTCTAGAAGAGGTGAGGACAGCATCGATACTACGGGTTGCTAGAGAGAAGGAGATAGACTTAGAGAGAGAAAGTAAGAAAAAGGACGAGAGCACGTACGCGGTGTTAGAACGAAAGGGGGAAAAAAGAAGAAGAAGGAGAAGAAGAAGGAAAAGGAGAAGGAGAAGGAGAAGAAGAATCGTAGGAGAGGAAACGAGGAAAGGAAAGGAATAAGTGATTTGGAGAAGAGAAAAGGACAGAAGAAGAAGAAGGTGGAACGGGGTCGGATAAGCTCGCATCTACCGAAGGAATTTCCACGAGGCATAGCGAGTCCTGGCGAACGGCATGTTTATAATCTAGCACAGTCACCTTCAGAGACGTTGGTTCGTTGGTCGAAAGGATCGGCAGGCAGGTTATACACGGAAGGATAGGCGCGAACGCACATTCGAACGTAATTTCTAGAAAGGAATGGTGGAAGTGTTTACGAGAGGAACGAGCTGGATAGAATTGTGATTGTGGTTGGTGGTGATACTGCTAGGTAGTGGGTGATCAATGTGTCAAGTGTGCAACAAGAGCGCTCTTTAGTCGGTGAATTTTTTTAAAATATCGACGAACGAAACTCGTGCTCGAATTTTCACGGTTAAGAGACGAAGAGACGGACAAACAGACAGACAGACGGATAGACAGAGACAGAGAGAGAGAGAGAGAGACAGAGAGAGAGAGAGGAGGAGAGAGAGAGAGAGAGAGAGAGAGAGAGAGNGTG